GAAGAGGCCCCTGCCTATGGCAGGGGGGGTTGGAACTAGATGATCTTTCAGGTCCCTTCCAACCTTGACAATTCTACGATTCTGTGAAAAGCACTACAGAAGATAAGCGTAGAGACACAACATCCTGAATGCCACCTTTGTCATCTCTAGAAAGGAACATGTCAGGTCCACATTCTCCTTGTCTTCCTAATCCATTAAAGGGAAGCACGAGGGTGCGTCACTTTAATACTGAAAATGGTTTCTATCTAATACATGTATGAAGTTGCCTTGAAGAACAGCTTACTCTCTTCAAAAACCTCGGTGAAACAAATGACCCAGGCACAGAAATGGGATAGAATGCTGCACTTTACTGATACCTCATGATCTCCTAAGAGACTAAGATGGGTAAATCACTAAGACCAAGGTCTTCTCAGTCTCTTCCAAAAATTGTGTTCCTAAGAACAGCCCTAGGCTACCTAGCTATGCTGTACCCTGCCTCAGAGTAGGATGTGCCTGTTGTGCTGTGCCACCTGAGGTATTGCAGCTGGTTTAGTTGACCACTCTTTCATCAGTGGTGTTGTTGTTGATGTTATCAGGAAGGTAAACTGTTTCAGCCTTGGCTGCTCAGTCATTTTCAGAAAAATATTTCTACATGACTTCTGATAAAGCACATTGTCAGGCATCTGCTGGAGTTTCTTTATGCATGACTTCAGTAATGAGTGACTGCTGCATGTGCTCTCCAGCTGAAACCAAGTGGGCAAGGACAGGATGAATTAAGACAAATAAAACTGGTCTCTTACCTTCAGAGGGTCAAGCATAAGCTCCCTGCTTTGCCCTTCCACTCTGAGAGAATAGAGCAATTGTAGTTTACCTAGGAGAAGCATCCTAGCCTCGCTCCCTGTGGACACCTAACCTGTCTGCCAGGCAGTGGCATCAGATATTGCATTGTAATGGATATAATGAGATAAATCTAATTTAGATTTTATGTAATGGGATACATTTTCAGAGTTCAGAATCTATTGAAGGATTTTTACCCTTAACAACCTTGAAATTTGTTTTACAAATTTGAAAAACAGTTTCTTCTTCCCTACTCAGAGGCTAGTTTGGAAGCTTGGAAGGTCATGTCATAGCCAAATAACACAGTAATGGATATGTCTTGTGCTTTATAATCCTCTAGTTTTATTCAAAGTCATGCACACTTTGGAAAGTTCTGCTCTAGTGGCTATGTGTCCTGGCCTTGCTAATAACTCCTTTTATGTTGTCAAAGCAATCTGCTTGCAGCTAGCTCAGCTGACCTGTTTTTCACCCTAAAAGGGGAAATAAAGCCTTGTCCTCACAATACTTCACTGTTGCTAATGCAGTAAAACACCTCAGTTCTTGTTACCCTGCTCCAAGTTTGAAACCTGTGTCTCTAAACAGCCAGTGCATGACGGTGTGTTGTGTGATGTGAGACACTCAGACTGAATCCTTACCTGGGCCTTGGCTGTGCAAACCCCTGTGCACGTATGAACTTTGTGTTTAAGCACATCTAAAACCACCAAGGGTTCATGTGTTTTAATGTAAAAGTCAGGGCAATCACATTTAGAAGTACTCAAGGGTGGAATCCTAACAAATTTGTTGAGCTTTAACCTTGGTTTTACTGAAGCCATACTTCATAAATATCCAACACTTCCAGGGTCTTGCATTAGAATTAAAGGTGCTCAGCAGTGCTGAAAGTCAAGCTGACACTTCTAATAGTCTGCAGATTCTTTTGTGGTCCATATTTAAGGGCAGTGTAAGCACTTTCCTATTCAAAATGTTACTTAACTGGATTCTTAGTGTGTTTTTAGTTCTGGAACTGTAAGGTGAGTTTAATTCATTCAAACATCTATCTTAACACAATGCTGGCAGAGGAACTTCATCACGTGTCAAAACCACAAATAAACTCTTTCTTTTTTTTCCTTTATAGGCTAACAGTGGTAGTTCAGAACTGCAAGAAATTATGAGAAGACGACAAGAAAAAATCAGCGCAGCTGCCACGGATTCGGGTGTGGAATCCTTTGATGAAGGAGGCAGCCATTAAGTGTATTTCCTCCTGTCTTTCATTTCATTGCCCATAGCATTACACCATCTAGCTTTGCTTTACAGAGCAGTGAAGGGCAGTGTCTTACTGTATTGTAAACATGACTAGCCACCATAAAGAAAATTTAGAGTACTCTCTGCAGAAGTACCTGCTGCTGGCTTCTTGGCACCAAGTATGAAGACGTGAGAAATTCAGTGGGGGTTCCTGGCAGGTGACAATGTAGGCTCATGATCATTTACACCCAGAGATGAGTCTTTGCTTTACAGAATTAACACGACAGATAAACTGGAACACGTCTTTGTGATTCATCTAAGGGAAGCTGAGCCAGCAATAAAAAAGTATTTGAACCCTTCATTAATAATAAGATTCTGAATCCCATCTCTTGCTGTAGTGTGCAATTGCGTCTTTTTGACTCAGTCTTTCTTGTCATGCATTAGGCTGCAGGACATTTACTGCAGTTGTTGATGCCAGCAATTGGAGAGGAAATGTTTAGAGAATGAACAGCAGCCCAACACAGACTGAATCTTTCTTGCATCACTCCCAAGATGTTTAATTACTAATGATGCTGTTTATAGCAAAATAATATCCTGTACATTGATTTTATCAATCCTTCACTCATTATGAACTATAATATTGCACAAGAAGGAATAACTAGAAAATAGTAACACAGCTCAAAGGGGTGATCAGATCTGCTGTAGGTAGCCACAAAACAATTTGCAGTCCTATTTTTTTTTATATATACTTGCATTTTTTGTCTGTAACTTAACCCATGAAAAGAACAGTGTATGATCTAGACTTCTCTGTGTGTTAATCCCAGATGTCAGTTTTCCCTTATGTACAAAGCTGTTATTAGTTTATAAACATAACCTTTTGGAAAAGTAGATTCCTGGAGGCGCAAAAGGGGGAGAAAAGGAAACAGACCTTCCAGCAAATGCTATTTTGAAGATGCAATGACTTTTGTCACAAAATGTTCTGTTATTTCATATGGTCCTGTGATTTTATATATAATATATGTATTATATACAATATATAATATCACTTAATTTAGACAAATTTAATCACCTAGTCTGATTAAGTTTCATAGTGCCTTTTTCACATGAATCAGCTTCAAGTCTGCAATAAATGATATTCCTTGTCTGTTAAATGGTTGTATCTTTCTGGCTACAAAGATGGTATTGAAATAAGAAAGCATTCCTGATTTTTGCCATTAGTTTGCTCTTCCTCTGCCTACAAGGGAAAAAAAAATCCTATTCATTTTTCATAAAAGAAAAATTAAAATCTTAATAAAGGTGTTTAGTGCCATTTCTTGTAATTGTCCTTGCACGTACATTTTCTGTGTGTTGGTTATGCATCTGTACATTTTCACATTTAATATATGTTCTTCATGCCTGTGAAAAGTATGTAGGTTCTACACCTGCCATTTAAATGCAGTCTTATCCAGAAATGAGTCCAAAAGTGCCAAATCCCAAACTCAAAATTCCAGCTGCCACAGCAATCACTAAGGAATGGATTCTTGTCTTACCCAGTGAAAGAAACAGTGATTCCTGATGCATTGTCCCTGCAGGAAACACTCGAACACCTGCATGATAAACTGCATTCACTCAACCCATGTACCTAGCTTCTGTGTGGAAAACTGCCTATTTCACTGCCTGCCCTATCATTAAAGGTCATGCCCCTCCAAGAATTTCACTTATTCTCTGATTCACATTTAGTTTCCTCTTCCTCACCCTCTGTAGTAAGCATCCATTCCTAGACTGAAGAGTGTTCACTCTACAGCAAAGTTCCCTACTCTGGGTAGTGATTGATTAAGAAAGTAAAGGAAGATTTGAATCTGCTCTTACTTAGATACTTCATTACTTGTAAATACAGGAGCAGGGAACTTTTTAAAAGGTCTTTGAAACTCCTGTTTAAAAATTAGAGTCACTGCATTTTCTCATGAGAAGTATGTTTGATGCCATAAAAGGCACTGTGGTGGTTCCCTACACCTCTGGTCCCCTGATGATTACCCTGCGAATTATCAAAATATGAAGGAGGTTGGGGAGGAAGCAGCCAAATATTTCATTTCTGAGAGAAAAAGAGGTGGCTTCAAAACTGGATTTTTGAAGCTGGGTTTCTTGTGCAGCTGTTAAGTGGTAGAGAAAGAGCCAGACGGGTCTGAATAGGGACGGTGTGTTCAGAGGCATCTGTGGAGCTACCTGGGAGGAAAACAGGAAACCCATTCCCTATACTTATGGGATGAGCAGAATAATGGGGGAATGCGGAGGGTGTGTAGGTGGGTGGGTTGGTTAGTTTCAGTGGTTTATTTTCTGTTTTTCAGTTAACTGCCAGTGGTTTAGCAATCCCAATATAACTCATGTTGTCTTTTACCCTTTAACTTTGCTGAACTAGACTGTACACCTTCTGTGTTACAGTCTGTGAAATCTGAAAGGCACTAAGGCAGATAGTCAGTCCCCTTTTTGTTGGAATTTCCTTGATGGTTAAGCAAAGAGTTGCACCTTCTGCTGCACAGTTCTTAAATTTTCAGCCTGTTGGCAGTTATGAGAAATCAAAAGGAGATCTCATGTTTTCATCAAAATGTTCAGTGTTTTAAATGAAAACAGTGGTAAAATGCCGTGTTTCATTCAAAATATTTTCTTTAGGATTTGAGCAGTGACTTTTTTAATTATATAAGATGTGATATGTGGAAAGTGTCTTTGAAAGCAAACTGAAGTTTTTAAAATGTCAAAAAAGTGCCCTATTAGATGTGGAAGCAGGAGCTGTGTTTGATAACACGGCAACTGTTTTCCTAACTTGCTGCCTTTTGAACTGGATGGAGGGAGGAGGGAGTTTTAGCAGCGTACATTCCCTCAGCAGCTTTATGCTTTCTAAGCCCATACCTTTTAACCTCAGCAAGGCTCTTCTTCCAAACTAGTCCAAAGTTTTAGGAGGACTTCTCTTAACAGTTTTATTGGAAACATAATCAGTTAGAGGAAACCTATAACTAGCAGAATTTTTATTTTTATATTGGAAAGTAAAGACATTTAGAGTTTTCAGGGGTTTAGGACATATATGGAAGATACAGCTTGAATACCAGATGCTTTTTTCAAGCCAGTATCTCCACTCATTTTCCTGAGCTGCATCTCATGCCTAAGGGAAACATGCTTATGAAGGGGAGCCCATGTTTCTGACCAACCTAAACCTACCTTTTTATTGGAGTCCAGTTTTTCTATGATGTGTTTCCTCAACTGTGAAGTCTGTGCATTGTCTAAAACATGAAACAAACAGCCCGAACAACTGAGTTGGATAAATCAAGAGTATTTGAGGGAATATTTCAGTGCGTGGCCTCCCATCTTCATACATATGCAACAGCATCATGCATGGGAAGTGCACACATGGTGGCATTTCTAAGCGTGCATTGTGTTCTGTTTAAATATTTGACAAACAGGTTGAATTTTTACTGAAGCAATGTTAAATTTTTGCTAATTAAATGCCTTTGGCTCTGCAGTCTCTTTTTCCAGTTTCTCTATAGTTACATGCTGAGGTTGCAGTTGTGGCCTTTTACTACTTCCCATCCAGACCAAAAGCAGTATGAGGATATTAGCCTGTGCTCCTACTTCTGGATAGTAGCTGTAGGTTGAAAGAGAAGATGAAGGAAAATGGGGAGGCTTCCTGGTTGCTTCGTAGCCACCACTGCTGCCTGTGAGAAACGCTCCGCCCCCCCCGGCCCCCAGCCACGGCAACAGCACCAACCACGTTATCTTCTCACAAGACGTGGCTGAAAGCAACAGCTTCTGCCTGCCTGAAGGAAAGTCCTGTTTCCACACCAGCCCTTTCCAGTTTAGAAGTGGGAGGCTGGTGGTGTGACTGTGCTTCATGAACAGAGGGAGGGAAGGGCCATTTTAGTGCTTCAGATGATGATGTTGAATACTGCACAAGGAGCATCTTTGTCGTTTTGTTTTTAGTCTCAGGAAAAGACTCTGTAAAATGCAGTAAAGCACAAGTCAGGCTTCCCAACCTGTTCTTCCTTCTTCTGTGAGGATGCAAGGAAACAGTTCTGAAGACTCAGGTATGTCCAGGCTCACTGGTCCGTTGCTGCCTCCTTCCCATGAGTTTTCACAAAGCAACAGGTTACAAAAGTGCCACCAACATCCATTCTGACAGCATCCATGCCACAAGAGACAAGAATGTACTGGGATCATATAAAAAGAAAGAAAACAAAAAAAAAGCTGATTATTCTGACTAGACTGAAACTGACAGCGAAAAAGAAAAGAGCCCCCCACCCTGCCCCCAGAGCCCCTGCAGGAATCCACACCAACACCTTGGCAGCCTCGCAGCCACAGAGCGATGACCAGCCCTTCACGTGCCCTGCGTGTCAGTCAGGTCCACCACTATGTTTGTGGGCAGGTTTCTGTGCAACAAGACTGTAGTTGGTTTGGCTGTGGTTATGGGCTGGCTTTTCTAAGCATTATCATCATACACATCAAGCACTGTCATTTAATTTGGAGTACAGTTATCCGATGACTTTTAGGTTTCAAAGAGAGAGAAAGCAAACCCTGATGAATCCTTACACTAAGCTTTAAATGCACTAAGCACATGGGAGCAAATGGGTCCCAGGTAAAAACAACTGTCCCAAAACCTGAGTCTAGTTTTTACCCTGGCCCCAGTGGTCTGCTGATGCAAGGAGATACCAATATGGGTTTCAAGTATGTTTCAGACCACTGAAATGCCTGGATTTCCTCACAGCAGTAAATTGGAGTGACTGGTTTCAATTCAGGGCATTCTTCAGTCAAACTCCCTTTGTGGGCCTGTGTAATCTGTTATTTTAAACTGCTCAGTGAGACATTGCCTATTTTCCAGTGTACAAGCCAATGTGACCCCAGGTGAGCTGTGTGTGCATTCAGGTTTTGCAAGGAAAGCCTTTTTGGTGGCCTCTGCATCCAAGTGCCAGTGCCACCTCATGACCTCTGTGGCCAGGTTTGGCCACTGCCTGAAGCAGCAGGAGCTCAGTGGCTACCAAGTCCCAGCGCTGGACATCAGCCCCAGGCAGGCAATCAGCTTGTACATGGAAAAAAAACCAAAACCAAACCCAACTCACATCACCTCTGGAGTGGTAACACAGCTGCAGCTGAAATCAAACTTGTTGTTCTCTGGTGTCTACATAAAGATCAGCCTTTGGATTACTCAAGTGAATTGTGATGAAGAGGGGTAGTTTGATAGCAGTGTTCTAGAACAGTCTGAGAATAATGACCTTTTTTCATTTCCAGATGCTACTTGTTGCCACTGAGGTTTTTTTCCTACTCTCATTGCCTGTCCCTGCTAAGTCTTTGCTTTGCTGTGGGTTCAACAATCCTTGGCAACAAATGACCTGCCAGACCTAGCCTGCAGCTGTGTGGAGGTTGCCAGCTTACACTGTGTCTAACCAGTGAAGAGCACAGCACGTGTGAAATCTTTCCATCACTAGTAGAGAATCTGGGAAGGTTTCAAATACACAAGAGCTT